ACCCGTCGCGTAGGCGTACTTGTGGACGCGGTATAGAAACCCTTTGATAATACCAAAGGTGATGAAGCGGCGGATGTCGATGTGGGCTAGCTTGCGGCTGTTCTGGGCGTACCATTGGCGGACGCTCTGTCCTTGCTTGAGGCTTGCATAGAGCTCGACGATGCCCACGCCATCAACGATTTCGGGGGGAGGTGGGGGCTGCGTGGGGTCGTGGTCTCCCGGGAGAATGGTTGAGATTGAGGGTGTTGTCGTTTTGTGTGTGCTTGTGGTGCTGGAGCGGTAGCTCGAGCTCGGGCTGGGTGTTCGGCTTGCGCTTCGGCGGTCGCGGTAGTCGGCTACGGGGGGCCATACGGAGTCCGGGTCGTACTTTGCGAGGCCTGGGGTGTGGCCTGGGATGGGGTATTCGCCGGCAATGTGAGTGTTTGTGAGGCCGTGGGCGGCGGGCGAGAGGGCGGAGGTCGATGCGGACGGTGCGGTAGCGGCACCGGTGCTCGCGTGGGCGGCCAGGGTCGGGGCGAAGAGCGTGTTGACGTAGCGGGCGCATTCGCGCTGCATTTCTTCGTCGGAGGCGATGGTGGAGCTGAATTGGGCGGTGGGCGCGTAGATTGCCGAGAAGGAGAAGATGTCTAGCAGGAATAGGCAGCCGTAGTAGAGGAGATGGCGGATAGCGCGGCAGGTGAGGGAGAAGTCAGTATCTGCGAGGATGGAGATGATGCGGACGCTATTGACGCCGTTGATATGAGGCACGATCTATCTCCTGTATTAGTTTCGCTCTAGACGTCGTAGCTGTTGAAGGCTTACCCGTTGCATGGTCAGATCCCAATTCTCATCCATAAACGCCTGGTATCGGACCGTAAAAAGAGGGACGTGCCAGGCTCGCACCTGCGGAGGAGCAGGGTACACAGGGAACAGCTTGATATTCAGCGTGTTCAATTCATCTGCATGGGTCGTCAGCGATCAGGCCTCCTTCAGTCCCGCGAAGAAGGCAATGTACCTATTGGAATCATGCACTCGCAATAGTTATTCAAATCCTCCATCAATGTCTCGCACAAACTGTATACCTTCCCTTCCCCACTTTTCGAATGATCCCTAGACAAGAATCCATTCTGCTCCTCCAGCCCATGCATCAGATCCGCAAGCTTCTGCACCACGCTTTTGTACGAGCTGAAGTCCTCCTCCTCGGCCAGCACCAGGCAGAAGTTGAAGATGAACTCATTGCGGTCGTACCGGAGCGACTTCATGCAGATCGGGTAGCCCAGTATCCGGTAGCCATTTGTGCACACCTGAATCAGATTGCCGCAGAGCTCTTGCCGGGGGATCACGAAGAAGGAGACGTCGGAAAAGGTCAGGAAGAGAGGCTGCGAGGGGGCGGTCGCAGAGGGTACGATGGCTCCGTCGGGGACTTGGTGAACAACCTTGGGGCCTGAAACGGTCAGTTTTTCTTAGATCTCGGTTATGGGATCGATGGATTATTTGATTTACCCTCTTGGGTGTCAAATTTGCTGTAGAATATGGCCTTGATCATGATGAGTCGGAGCTATGAAGATCAGGTGCTGGACTGCAATTGTCAATTCATTGGCGAAGGAAATTTAAGATCAGCTGGGTCGCTGGAAGCATCATCACAGCATCTTTCTATGCCGATATCATACCATTCCATGGCAAATGGTCCATGAAAGTGTTCAGGGTGCTGTTGTGGCGCCGGAGATGATGTCGCAGTTCAAGGCTGCGGGGAGTTCAGACACGGAGATAGCTCCAAGCGAGCTCAAAGATAAACCGAGTAACCGACAGGGAATCTTCGATACTCTCTCATCATCGCTCAAACCAGCACTTTTTAAACTTTGAAAAAAGATAATTGTCTTGATCATTGTTACTCAATTGGGGTTTGACATTCTACCGCATTTGCCGTGAAGATATTTCACACACCAATATCAAAGCAGACAAGGGCCAGTATTTTTGCGACGCTGAAACAAAGCAATCCCAAACGGACAAAGATCGAGGGGTATTAGAAGAGCATCGGAGATGATGACGAAGAAAACAGATCTATCAACGGCGGAAAAGGGGACTATTAGGAACGCCTGAAGATGACGATGAATAGACGAGAGACACAGCTGCGAAAGCGCCACAAATGCACCAGCCAAATCGAAACCCGCCCGCTAGCAATATCCGTAACGCAAAGGAGAAAACAACAAAGCAAAGACCAGTGAGCTGCCTTTTTCTTATCGTGCAGTTCCTGGAGGAGGGTTGGGAGGGCGCTGAATGCCAATGCTTGAAGAAAGCACCCTGGGCGGCGCCGGAGTCATGAAACGTTCTGGGAGTGATGGCGGGACTTGTGTGATGCCTGTCCGACGCAACTGAGCGAGGGGAGTAGCCATGTGGGACAAAAAGTTCAACGGCTGGCCCGTTCGGATGGCATTGATCAGGTCTGCGTAACTTCCGCGTTCCCCGGCCTCCTTCAGCCACTGCTCCCAGTCCTCGTCAAGTGGAACATTGGCACCTTGCTCTCGGGCTGCGGTAGCCGCGAGCAGACGATGGTTCAATTCCACCCCACAGCTTTCCATCTCCTCGTCGCTGGAGTCTTCCTCCACCTTGTGTACTTGCGGCAAACGGTCAATTCCACGGTTGTCAACGGTGTGGCCGGTGTTGATGACATCCTCGAACGGTTCATCTATCTTCAACTCGGGTTCCTTGGCGGTATCTGAGCTGCCATTGAAATGGATCTCAACAGAGGGTCGCGGGGATGGCGTTGCCGGTCGGACGGCTTCGGCAGTTGTGTCTCGCACCTTGATGCCCTCTTCCTTCTCGTAACGTTCGCGAGCGGATTTCGTTCCCTCCCATCTACAGAGCGAGGAGATTTCGGCTTCGGTCAGACCGAGTTCGTCAAAGACCTTGAATAGCTTGCGGTGCCATGGAAATCGGCTCAGTCTCATGCGATGGGGGCCATAGGAATAGTCAAGACCGGGATATTGGGCTTCGATGCTGTCCAGGGACCCGTAGAAAGTCGATGTCTCAATCCGAACTTCTGGGACAAGGTTGCGAGTGATGTGAGCGGAAAAGGTGGCCGGATCACTGGTACGGGGGCGTGGAAATATTGCGCTGTGCACAATTTGAGCTAGGGAAGGTTTATGCATCGTCGATGAGGCTGCGGTGGTATGATGTTGAGGTAGTTGAGACTCCGGGGTGAGATAGTCAGGTTGACCAAATAAGAATCCCCAACTACACTGTGCGGAGAAAGATGAGCGGTGAGCGACCAGAATGAGGAGAAAGGAGGCAATCCCAAGGCTGATAACGACAGTTTTAGAGATAAAGAAGATGGACAGGCAAATGAGTAAGGAGTTCGGTTGTAAAGGAGAGTGAATGAGCTGAAAATGTTGTCGGATCACGCTTCATAAATATTGCAACTTGCAAGGAGAATAGATCAGCAAGGGGAGCAATATGCACGGATGTTAGTATGCATAGGGAATGCGCCAAAGTATACGCAGTGCATACAGGATAACCGCAAATGATGGCGACTTAGACGTGAGGATGGTAAAAAAAGAGACAAAGAAAAAGGGGAAGTTTGTAAATAACAGCCGATAGTAAGAGCAGATATCTATAGACCGTCGCACGGGTGGTTTCCAGTTCGAGTGTGGGGTTTGATACTATTTGTGGTCGTCGAAGATGGATAGTGACGACGATGACGATGATGACGGTGGAAGACCACAGAATATTGGTCTTTCCTTAGACTTCTCTCTGTTGTATATCCTGTCTCACTGATATCAACTCGAGTCCTCAAGGGGAGAACTCTTTGATGATACTGAAAAAGGATCCTTAGCTTGCCCGTAGAGAAGCCTTGGCTTCATGTACGGTCCAGGCCTCGAGTCTAGATCAGCCTGCTCCTAATAGGAGGAATACATCGTGAATCGCAAGTGTAGATCAGCCTCAGGAATGCCTTTTATTCCCCTAGCAGATCAGGAGGATGGAATTGAACCGAGGAGGAGAGTTTGACGATGATGAAACGAGAGAAGAGAGAAGAGAGAAGGGAGAAGGGGAGAAGGGGAGAAGTGAGCAAACTTTTTTATATTTGTTGTCGGCGATTATTCTCTCAGCGACGATGCCAACAAATAGTAACAATTATTATGATGATACGATTATTTGTCTGCTGACACGCATGCAACTGACCAGCGCATCAGAAGGAAAAGGGAAACCTGCGTGGAGTTCGGAGGAGAGGAGAGCAACGCTGCGGGCCAACGAGGGCTGTTCTTTCCGTCGTAAATCAGCGTCATTATTGCTGAAAACCTTGATGGATCCATTAGTGATGGCCCCGAAAGCATAAAAAGAATCAAGTCTGGTCTTGTTAGTTGATTCTATCCCCAGTCACCCTCAGAATGAAGCAGTGGTTCTCTTCTCCTAGACTGACTTGACTGTGTTGGCGGGCGGGTCTATCATCCACTCGCCTCACCATGTTGTATGTATCTGCATGGCCACTTGGTCAATGGTCGGACTTATCCCTTTGGGCTTCCTGCCGTTACCCATGTAGGGTCCTGGTTGGCAGATATTCCAGGTATCAGTAGCAGCATTGTCAGATAGACCATCATCGTAGTAAGGAGCTGGTCGCTGATGCTGGTCAGTGGTGTTGTACAAGCCGGCGTTGACAAATCGGTTTGTATCCGATTAGATGTTTTTTTACCGTGGGAAACCGGGGTTTACTGGCTGTGCATATCTCCCGCTGTTCGAAGTGAGGTGAGTAGTCTAGATCGAGCGGATAGGATGAAGATTGAAGGCAAAAAAAAGCCCTCTCTGACAACAAAAAGTGCACTGGACTGCTCAACTGCAGGCACTTGGATGGTTGAAGTCACGTGATACTATCCTTTTCAAGAAAGAATCACGTCGTCTACTTCATCCCTCGCGACCATCTGTTCTCTACCGGACAAACCTTGATATCGTTGCAGTATCAGTTGCGGGGCTTACATTTTTGTCATGTTTCTCACAAATACGAGAACAATAGCGCTCGTCAACACCAGATGTCGACCTTCGACGGGATAGTTCAAGGTATGACCACCACACAGAAAAAGTCATCGCAGATTATCTAACGGCTCCACAGAGTTCCCTTACATACAAAGTGAGTCCAGCTTATCTCTGCCTGCCAGTGGGCCCAGCATACTGAGCTGAATATAATATAGTCGACTACTTTCGAAAGAATCCGGAACGGCCGCCTCCACTCGCATGTTTTCTTAGCCATGTGCACAGTGATCATCTCCAAGGCCTCGAGTCCTTCCGGGCTCCGTTTATCTACTGCTCTGCCGCAACTCGGGAGATGCTTTTGCGCATTGAAAAGTATCCCCATCGGATGAACTTCAGCAAGGGGATTTTGGAGTCCCGCAGACTGCACTACAAGCATTTGACCAAGCTTCTGGTGAGTGCTCTACTGTTCTAGTCTAAAATTTGCCCTTAACTCACATGCACAGCGGCCAATTCCCTTGGACACGCCAACTGAAATTGAGTTGACACCATTGCTGTCAATCAGGGTCACCCTTCTCGACGCGAACCACTGTGCTGGTGCAGTAATGTTCCTAATCGAAGGTGACGGCAAGGCGGTGCTCTACACCGGTGATATTCGCGGTACGGTACTTTTGCATTTTTGGGTGTTCCATACTGATCAAAGGCAATAGCTGAGCGTTGGTGGGTCAGCAGCCTTGTCCGGCATCCGGTCCTCATTCCGTATACCCTGGGAAGCAAGAAGTTGGACAAGATATATCTCGATACCACGTTTGCTCGCGTAAACCATGTGTGTCGGAGCTTTCCGTCGAAAGCCGAAGGGCTGAGAGAGCTTCTGCAGAAGGTCCAAGCGTACCCAGAGGAGACCATCTTCTACTTTCGAGCATGGACGTTTGGCTACGAAGATGTCTGGATAGCGCTTTCCGCTCTTCTGAACACCAAGGTGTGTGGTGTCTACCTATATATGAATGCTTTGTACTGACCTGGCAGGTCCATGTTGATCGATACCAGATCGGCCTGTATAGGTCACTTGTTTCGAACTCGCGAAGAGCTATCAGCGAGGCACCTGCTCTTTGCGGTTTCGAGCTTGGAAACCGGTTTGTGCCCGGTTGCCTGAGCGAAGACGAGAGCTCTCGCGTCCATAGCTGCGAGCCTGGAGTACACTGCTCTGCAGTTCGCTCGAAGCGGACCGTCTACATCATGCCAATTGTCGGACGAATGAAGGACGGCACAAGAGTGCCTGAGCTGGGAGCAGGAGGTGGAGGTGGCGATCTTTATCAGACCCACGAGCTTGAACTTCCAGATCAGTCGGCACTGGAACAGCTGGAGAGTCTGTGTCTGGAGCAGATCCGCGACCCTGAAACGCTCTCACAGACGAGAGAGGCCTTGACCCAAGCCTTCAAGTCAAAGAACAAAGCGCTTTCCCTGGACAGTTATGGCATGAAGGATGTTTCCGACATACCTCTGCAGGAGCTCGTGCAAATCCTTGGTCGTGGCCGATCCGACAAAGAATTGTGGTCGAACGATGTGAAAGTATCGGCACTACGAGACGCGTCAGGGAATCGTCTTCCAAAAATTATAGTACGTATGCATCCCTGGTTCTCGAAGTCTAGAAATTCCCAGCTGACAAGATCTAGTATTTTCCCTACTCGCGCCATTCCTCTTACGAAGAATTATGCGAACTAGTCTCCGCTTTCAAACCCAGGGACGTCCACCCCTGCACAGTCGACGCTCTGGAGTGGAACGAAGACATATCCATGCGCAGCTTGTTCGGCCATCTGTGTTCTGGACACGAATTCGTCCACGACCAGTACATGCGCGACACCATCGCCAACAACGAGGAATTGCGGTCTCGGAAAAGAACCCGCTACGAGGATGACCTCTCAACCCAGTCCACACAGCAATCCATCAGCATGGACGCTAGCATCGACCGCAGCCCTGTTGTCATGCCCAATACCAGCGAGCCTCAAGCCCAGCCAGCAGACCCTCACCGGACAATCCTCTCCTCCTATCCATCATCAGCCAAGATCCCCCACCCATCCTCCCTTGAAACCGTCCCTGACGCCGCCATAAGCATCAACCCAAAGAAACCCCACCCCCAACCC